TGAAAAAGGAAACAGGCTTCGACAATCCTTTATTCTTTGATGCAGTGATAAGCTCCAATGAAGTCCTGAACAGCTTACCATACAATTATTCGAAGATCAGCTTGGTCAATCGATTTGAGAGGAGAACTCTACCTCATCAAATGTTATCCTTTGTCAAGCAGTCGCTTTTCCAGTATCCAGCACTAAAAGATGGAGAGGAGCCACTTGTTCAATTAAGCATGTTGGCCCGTAGTCTTGGTTTAAATGGCTATGTAGTCCCTGATCAATTAATTGAAGGACAGAAATCAAGGGTCCTCATTCAGATTGAGGTGCTCTCTTTAGGTCCAATATTGGGACGGTTTGATTATGATCCCACAATGTACAAGCAAAGTCAAAGTAATTTACCAGTCATTACCAAAGAAGATCTCAAAAGCAGCCGGTTCTTGAATGTATCCATGCGGCTTGTGTTCAGAATCGAGAAAAGCAGCAGACAGACGACTTATATGAATATATCAGAATTGTCCTTGGAAGGCTTATATGATCCTAGTTTGGGTGAGATGCATTTGATTGGATGTAGGAAGGCTTTGGTCGAGGGCATTGGCCTTGAACGTGGCCAAGATTGTTTGATTGAAGTTAAAATTCAGTATCCAGCTAAAAAGTTCCAATGGATGAAGAATCCATCTGCAAAGATCAGCATCAGCAGCCAAAGGCAAGAAGATGATCCCTTATATTTTAGCTTGATTAGCCTCAATGCTCTTTTGACTCATTATCAAGATTATTTTGAAGTAGTTTTTAATCGAGAAGCCTTGGAAGGGATTCTTTGCATTCTAATGCTTGCAGGGTCAATTGCAATCATATGGAGCCAACTCTTATACATGAAGGCAGATGCAAGTATTGTTCCTTACATTTCCACTCCCATGCTTGCTTCTCAGATCCTTGGATATAGCCTTCCGCTAATTTGTGGTGCCAAAGTTCTCTTGAAATCCAGCAAACTTGAAGCTTATTACGGAGCATGGACTCAGAGTGCATTAGCAATGTTGAAACTTCTTCAAAGTATCCAAAATGCTCTGTTGTTGGTGGCCTTACTACTCACTGCAAGACTCTTTCGGATGGTAACGAAATCTCGAAAAAGGCATCATCCCAAAGGATCAAGGTATGCTGCAACAAAGATAAGGGTTATCCTGGGTTTCATTGTTATATGCACTGTTGATTATCTTATTTGGCTTGCTACTCGAGAAAATCCAAATGTGCATGTACAGCCTGGAAAGGGCAATTATGAAGCAAGAAATGTGGATATGCAGCAAACTTGGATGACAATTATAGAGGATGTTGTGTCTTTGCTTCAAGACATGTTTCTACTTCCTCAGATTCTTCTCAATCTATCAATGGCAACACCTGTTAAATCCTTGAGGGAAGCCTATTACCTTGGATTTACTTTAATAAGGCTTCTTGTCCACTTTCTTGACTACACAAGGGATCCTGTTTTACACCCCAAAGTAGATGTTTCTGAATTCATGAGTCAGAACTCAACTTCTCCTTTGTTTGTCAAGGTTGCTGCTCCAGCAACCATAATTATGACAGCAATTGTAGTTTACATCCAGCAGAATTGGAAGTACCAGAAGCATATGATCCACTCTTCAAAATACTGAGATTTGAGGTTTGCATTTTTAAAGCATTGTAATTTAGATCCAACAAAACACCAGCACATTGTAATTTCTGTGTTTATGTCAGTCTAATGGTTGGAGTTTGAATTGTTGTATATGTGTCTCTGTTTGTGTTATTATTCTCTTGAGAACCAACATGATGTTAAAACAGGGGTGAAAAGTTCTTCTTTACAACACAAGCATGTTACTTTCGATTCTGAAGCTTGTTCATAGCAGGAAATGTAACAAAAAATGTTCATTTGCGTTGAAATTTGAATCAAACAAAAATAAAGATTATTTATGAGAAAAAAAAAACAGAACTAACTTTGAATCAAACGCAGTTGGATGGTTGATATAACAATGTTTTGGGCATTTATTTTGGGCTCTGTTTGATGAAATATAAATCATCTCTTTAATTTTTTTTTAGTTCCATCATGTTCAATTAATAACTTAATAAAATTCTTGTTCAAATGCTGACAATGCTCCCAACATATACATATACAATGATGTAACGACCAAGAAACTTATTGGACCAATATCTTTTTTAAGTGAACTTTGGACTGTCAAGGATGGATTAAATTTGGCTAAGGCCCTGGTTGGTGCACCGTTTGATACTGATTGGGTCGGTTAATGGTCCAAACGGCGTACCAAACATTTTTTCTGGTGGGATCAATTTGTCTCTATTAACACATGTTTTACAACCACCGAGAATATTCTCATCTGTGCAGTAACAAATTTTATTGTACAGTAACAAATCTAACATGTAACCAATTTTACTCTCACCGAACCAATCTCACCGGTGTACCAAACATGACCTAACTCAATCAATTTTCAATTGAGATTTATTTTAGATTATATCATATGTATCCTAACATCCAAATCTGATGAATGTATTAATGTGAGATGTATGTTTGTTGATATATAAACGATGCAGATAGATGTATGCTTATAAAATAGTTTGATGAAGATTATTGTGTAATTAACCTTTCCCTTTCCTATAGGAAAGAATCCTCCATTTAACCTTTATTTTCTTTTCGATAGTTAAACCAAAAGAAAGTACATCATTTTCCTTATCACATCAATTGCTGAGAAACCAGTCAATGTATTGCTTCTTTATTCAAAGCATGGTTTCTTGGAGTGTTTAATTTCCTATACTTTATTTTCTTCATTTTTGAAAACAAATTTAAATGAGGGAGGCGCGTCTTAGTCCAGTACCGAGCAGAAGTCTGAAGTCTTACCAACTCAACCAACCTTACTTTCCTCTTGGGCCTACGGTTGATTCCTGCAGGCGTGGGAGAGACGAGACTACCAAAACAGACATCAATATTTCCCTTATAGTATGGAACATCCGAAATCTTCTCAATTCTCTGCCCCTTGAGATTATACCTGTCACGCCCCGAACCCGCAGTAACAACGCCACACACTCACGAGGCGAACCCCATGAGCATGTAAGGCTAACTATCAATCCAAAAAAAATTAAAAGTCTAAAATCTTTAAAATTCTTTTAAAACATAATTAATCTTACAATCTCAATAATAAACGTTAAACAATAGCGGAAGCAGTTCAATAATATAAATAAAATTCAAAGTCTAATTAATTCATCCTAACGCACTCTCCCAAATGCACCCCAATGCTCAATCTTCATCACCTGAAATATATTAACAACATAATGAGCTAAAGAGCCCAGTAAGTAACAAAACCTAACTAGCCGGATCAAGCACTTAAAACCATTTTCTCAAAAAATCACAATATTTAGCAAAAAAATATTTTATAATCAATTTCTCAATCACGATCAACAATAAAAACATTTCAATAGAGTTCTTATCAGGCTGCCACGATACACGATATCACGATACACAATATTTCAACCGATCGGTAATAGATTCCGGAACCACCAACAGTTTAACCCCCTGAGGCACGGGTCCACTATGCAGCCATCAAAGTCCCCAAAAACCAATTTTCACAATCTCAAATCAATTTCACGATACCACAATTCCAAATCAATTTTACCTTTCATGCTTGACCCATTTTACGAAACCATTTCAATAGTTCAAAAACAATAAAACATCGATCATTTTGAAAATAACCAGGAAGGTTCGGAAACTTACCTGATTAGCAAAGCAATCACAGCACAAAATCCACAGCAAGACAAACACAATCACAATCCTAACAATTTATAACTATTTGTTAGAAACGGAAATTATACACAATGATTATGCATGCTCAATCTACCCTTCAACCAATCCTAAACAACATTGGGGGACCGCTGAAAATTCCTTTTCAAAATATTTAGAAAACACACACATGGAATTTTCCACATTTAACTCACTTTTACTATTTAAAATAACCATTGAAAATAGATTTCGAAATTTCAAGAGAGTGGAACTCCATTTTAAAAACATAAGAATAATACTGATATTATAATATAATTTTCACCAAAATTTCAGAACCTAACTCTTTAAGATCATGTCACACTCTCTCAATCAATTTTCTAAAAAGAATAATTTATATAAAATAATTTGTAATCTGAAACATCATATAAAAATTCCAGAAAATCATAAGTATGTTTTTGAGCAAATCCCCCAAATTTCACTTCAAAAAGACCTAGGGGTGAACTACACTCTCCGATTCAATTTATGGCCGAGAGTGGGCATCACAAATTACTATTCATCTTCTTCATGAACAAATCTGAAAATTCCAGATTCATCCCATCGACCAGCCATCTTTGGAGCTTTGATTCTCTCTCCTCAAAACACCTATGGAGGTATGGAAAGTACCAATAAACAGAGCTTGCATCATACTACAATTACCTCATAAGTTTGGCCTCTAAAGGTCTCCGGTTTGCCAGATTCCGACAAGGAAAGTAGGCCCACCGATCACAATTTTCAACTTAGGGTTCTTAACTTAATTTCATCATAACTTTTGATTTACCCAACCAAATTGAGTGATTCCAAGTTCTATGAACTCCTAATGATTAAAGGAATCTATTGATACCAATTTGGTGGCCGGAGGCTCGCCGGTCGGCGGCCGGTGGCCAGAATTCTCTCTCTTTCAACCAAAAACCCACCCTAATGCATGCTTACAAGGTGAAAACATTAAGAAGTTGTTAAAACTAACCTCTTAGCACGAAAATATGATGGAAAATTGATGAAATTAGTCTTCAAAACTCTCTGGCCGTTCTCCCTCTTCTCCCAATTTGTCTAACCCTAGTTTTGAAAAGAAAGTGAATATATATATATATGACTAACTATGCTAATTACTTAATGGGTTTTTAGCCCATAATTTAAGATGTATTTGGGCCCAAAATAACAAATAGAAAATCTTGGGTCGGGGTCTCACATCCTTCCCCCCTAAAAAGAAGTTTAGTCCTCTAAACTTTTACGTACCATTGGTTTCAAATAGTTCAGGATACTTCTCCTTGATCTTCGATTCCAGTTCCCAGGTAGCTTCTCTCTCTGAGTGGTTATGCCATTGCACTTTCACGTATGGAATGGTCCGCCTTCTCAAAACTTGCTCCTTACGATCAACTATCTTAATTGGTTGTTCATCGTAAGTCAAGTCTGCCCTAAGTGGTAAAGGTGCCAATTCAATCACATGGTTAGGATCAGGAGTAAACTTTCTCAACATCGACACATGGAAAACATTATGCACACCGGACAATGATGGAGGCAAGGCTAGCCGGTAGGCTACTTCTCCAACTTTCTCCAAAATCTCAAAAGGGCCAATAAACCTAGGGCTTAACTTCCCACGTACTCCAAATCTCATCACTCCCTTGGTTGGTGAAACTTTCAAGAATACATGATCTCCCACATCAAACTCCAATGTCCTTCGTCTAATATCTGCATAACTCTTTTGTCGACTCTGAGCAGTTCGGAGACGTTCTCTGATCAATTGAATCTTGTCAACTGTTTGTTGGACAATTTCTGGGCCTAAAAGCTTTCTTTCACCTACCTCATCCCAACACACTGGCGATCTACACTTCCTCCCATACAAAGCTTCATATGGAGCCATCTGGATATTCGCCTGATAACTATTGTTATAAGCAAACTCCACTAAAGGTAAGTGGTCATCCCAAGCACCCTTCATATCAATGGCACATGCCCTCAACATGTCTTCGACAATTTGGATGGTTCTCTCTGATTGCCTTATCAGTTTGGGGATGAAAAAACAGTGCTAAAGTTCAACTTCGTTCCTAAGGCCTTATGAAGACTTCCCCAAAACTCAGCCACAAATCTCGAATCGCGATCAGAAACAATTGACACCGGCACTCCATGCAACCTAACAATCTCTCGAACATACAAAGCAGCTAACTTCTCCAAAGAATAACCAACCTTCAAAGCTATGAAGTGAGCAGACTTCGTTAATCTATCAACAATTACCCATACTGACTCATGGCCTCGAGGTGATCTAGGTAACCCAGAAACAAAGTCCATTGTGATGTGCTCCCACTTCCATTCTGGTATTGGAAGCGGTTGTAACTGTCCAGCTGGCCTTTAATGCTCCACTTCACCTGTTGGCATACAATGCATTGTGCTACAAATTCACCAATCTCCCTCTTCATATTGTTCCACCAGTAAGTCTCCTTCAAATCCCTATACATCTTAGTCCCACCAGGATGCACGGTATATCCAGAATAATGTGCTTCATCCAAAATCACTTTCTTTATTTCTACATCATTAGGAACACATAACCTATCACCAAATCTCAAGGAACCATCATCATGGATTCTAAAATCAGACGGAGCACCTGTTTCAATATTAGCTCGGACCTTCTGAAGTGCTGAATCAACCAATTGTGCCTCCTTAATCCTCTCAATTAACGTAGGTTGAATTCTCAAACTAGCCAACATTCCTTCAATGCCATGTTTCCTAACTCCAATCTCCATCCTTATCAAATCATCCAAAATGGACCTTTGAGAAGTAAGAAGAGCTGCAAGATTGCCATGATTCTTCCTACTCAATGCATCAGCCACAACATTTGCCTTTCCCGGATGATAACTTATGGTTAAATCATAGTCTTTCAATAATTCTAACCATCTTCGTTGCCTCATGTTAATCTCCTTCTGAGTGAAGATATACTTCAAACTTTTATGATCAGTGAAAATCTCACACTTCTCACCATACAAGTAATGCCTCAAGATTTTGAGAGCAAACACCACTGCTGCGAGCTCCAGGTCATGTGTAGGATAATTCCGCTCATAAGGTTTAAGCTGCCTTGAAGCATAAGCCACAACTTTCCCATTTTGCATCAAGACACAACCCAAACCTTTCTTCGAAGCATCACTATAGATAGTGAATCCTCCACTCCCATCAGGAACGTTTAAAACATTAGCTGAAGTGAGACGTTCCTTCAACTCCTTGAAACTTTTCTCACATTCCTTAGTCCACTCAAACTTAGCACCTTTTCTGGTCAGTTTAGTCATCGGCATTGCAATACTAGAAAATCCCTCCACAAACCTCCGGTAGTAACCAGCCAACCCAAGGAAGCTTCTTACTTCAATAGCATTAGTAGGTCGACTCCATTCTACAATTGCTTTCACCTTTTCAGTATCTACTGAGATCCCATCCTTAGACACTACATGTCCAAGAAATGCCACACTATCCAACCAGAACTCACATTTCTTAAACTTAGCATACAACTTCTTTTCTCTGAGAATTTGCAATACTAACCACAAATGCTCTCCATGCTCCTCCATACTCTTAGAGGACACCAAAATGTCATCTATAAAGACCACAACAAACTTATCCAGATAATCCTTAAACACCCTATTCATCAAATCCATGAAAGCAGCTGGTGCATTAGTTAAACCAAATGGCATAACAAGAAACTCGTAATGCCCAAACCTGGTTCGAAAAGCTGACTTAGGGACATCCTCCGCCTTAATCTTCAATTGGTGATAGCCAGACCTAAGATCAATCTTAGAGAAAACTTGGGCTCCCTTCAATTGATCGAAAAGGTCATCAATACGCGGTAAAGGATACCGATTACGCACCGTTACCTTATTCAACTCTCGATAGTCAATGCAAAGTCTCATGCTACCATCCTTCTTTCTCACAAACAAAACAGGAGCACCCCACGGAGAAACACTTGGTCGGATGAAACCCTTATCCAACAACTCTTGCAACTGCTCCTTTAATTCCTTTAACTCAGTTGGAGCCATTCTATAAGGAGTTTTAGAAATAGGTGTAGTGCCTGGAATTAAATCAATATAAAACTCCACTTCTCTATCTGGTGGAAGACCAGGCAAGTCCTCCGGATAGACATCAGAAAAGTCTTCTACAATCGATATTCTTTTCAAACTAGGCAATTCACCATCAAGGTTTTTTTGGACAGAAACAAGAAAATCTAATATCCATTAGTCAACAAACGTCTAGCTTGCAGCATAGAAACAATTTTAGGAGGAGATTTAGCAGGGCAACCAACAAAACTAAATTCCTCAAGACCAGGGATGCGAAAGTCTATCCATTTCATATGTCAATCTAAGACGGCATAATAGCTATCCAACCAATCCATTCCTAATATAACTTCAAATCCATGCATAGCTAAGACAACCGAATCAGTAGGTAAACCCATTTCCGCAATATCATCAATACAAGATAATAAACATTTGAACTCTCTGCAACCTTGGTGGTATGAACCCATTTTGATTTCCGTATTCTTAGACGGCGTATTACAAGACATCACAAAATTCACAAGTCATTCGATTACCAATCAAGCAAAATATCACAATCATAGGTATGCATATGCACTCCTATTCTACCCATTCCTCACTCATCACGAAATTCGCCCTAATAGGTCGCAACCTAAGCTCTGATACCACTAAATTGTCACGCCCCGAACCCGCAGGCTCGACATAACAACGCCACACACTCACGAGGCGAACCCCATGAGCATGTAAGGCTAAGTATCAATCCAAAAAAAATTAAAAGTCTAAAATCTTTAAAATTCTTTTAAAACATAATTAATCTTACAATCTCAATAATAAACATTAAACAATAGCGGAAGCAGTTCAATAATATAAATAAAATTCAAAGTCTAATTAATTCATCCTAACGCACTCTCCCAAATGCACCCCAATGCTCAATCTTCATCACCTGAAATATATTAACAACATAATGAGCTAAAGAGCCCAGTAAGTAACAAAACCTAACTAGCCGGATCAAGCACTTAAAACCATTTTCTCAAAAAATCACAATATTTAGCAAAAAAATATTTTATAATCAATTTCTCAATCACGATCAACAATAAAAACATTTCAATAGAGTTCTTATCAGGCTGCCACGATACACGATATCACGATACACAATATTTCAACCGATCGGTAATAGATTCCGGAACCACCAACAGTTTAACCCCCTGAGGCACGGGTCCACTATGCAGCCATCAAAGTCCCCAAAAACCAATTTTCACAATCTCAAATCAATTTCACGATACCACAATTCCAAATCAATTTTACCTTTCATGCTTGACCCATTTTACGAAACCATTTCAATAGTTCAAAAACAATAAAACATCGATCATTTTGAAAATAACCAGGAAGGTTCGGAAACTTACCTGATTAGCAAAGCAATCACAGCACAAAATCCACAGCAAGACAAACACAATCACAATCCTAACAATTTATAACTATTTGTTAGAAACGGAAATTATACACAATGATTATGCATGCTCAATCTACCCTTCAACCAATCCTAAACAACATTGGGGGACCGCTGAAAATTCCTTTTCAAAATATTTAGAAAACACACACATGGAATTTTTCACATTTAACTCACTTTTACTATTTAAAATAACCATTGAAAATAGATTTCGAAATTTCAAGAGAGTGGAACTCCATTTTAAAAACATAAGAATAATATTGATATTATAATATAATTTTCACCAAAATTTCAGAACCTAACTCTTTAAGATCATGTCACACTCTCTCAATCAATTTTCTAAAAAGAATAATTTATATAAAATAATTTGTAATCTGAAAAATCATATAAAAATTCCAGAAAATCATAAATAATTTTTTGAGCAAATCCCCCAAATTTCACTTCAAAAATACCTAGGGGTGAAGTACACTCTCCGATTCAATTTCTGGCCGAGAGTGGGCATCGCAAATTACTGTTCATCTTCTTCATGAACAAATCTGAAAATTCCAGATTTGTCCCATCGACCAGCCATCTTTGGAGCTTCGATTCTCTCTCGTCAAAACACCTATGGAGGTATATAAAGTACCAATAGACAGAGCTTACATCATACTACAATTACCCCATAAGTTTGGCCTCTAAAGGTCTCCGGTTTTCCGGATTCCGGAAAGGAAAGTAGGCCCACCGATCACAATTTTCAACTTAGGGTTCTTAACTTAAATTCATCATAACTTTTGATTTACCCAACCAAATTGAGTGATTCCAAGTTCTATGAACTCCTAATGATCAAAGGAATCTATTGATACCAATTTTGTGGCCGGAGGCTCGCCGGTCGGCGGCCGGTGACCAGAATTCTCTCTTTTTCAAACCAAAACCCACCCTAATGCATGCTTACAAGGTGAAAACATTAAGAAGTTATTAAAACTAACCTCTTAGCACGAAAATATGATGTAAAAGTGATGAAATTATCCTTCAAAACTCTCTGGCCGTTCTCCCTCTTTTCCCAATTTGTCTAACCCTAGTTTTGAAAGGAAAGTGTATATATATATACGACTAACTATGCTAATTACTTAATGGTTTTTTTAGCCCATAATTTAAGATGTATTTGGGCCCAAAATAACAAATAGAAAATCTTGGATCGGGTCTCACAATACCAAACTAACTTATGCTTGAAATGGTCATAATTAATCCATACTAACAAAACTTTGTGCGCACACTTGGAATACGCCACGGGGAACAATGAAATACCACCAGTCGACAATATTGTGGTGGAAGACAAGAGTTGAGTCCAAGATTCTGGTGAACCATATTTCTTCATAACCCATATATCATAATCATGACGACGGTCAATCATAGAAAGGAAACCTCCCAATTCCTTAAGATCCAAATTATTATGAAAATAAAATTTAACGTCTGAACTAGTGTTATGATCATCCAGCAATGGCAATGGCAATGGCAGTGGAAAATCTCGGTATCTCTCAGTTGTTAGATCAAAAGCAACAATACTACTCTTTGATCTATCATGTTCGATAATCCAATGCAAGGCATTGTTAACGAGTGTTTGCTTATGGTTTCATGAAAACTACTTCTCCAATACCCAGACCTGAAGCTGTAAATCTTATAGTTGAAGAGTTCTGCTTGTTATTGTAGGGTTGAATCAACATCACCAACTTATAGTCATCAGAAACTGGATCATACCCGAATCCATAATTCACGTTAGATGCAGGAAGAGTGGGATGTTTAGGGATTTCCCGGGTCTTTCTTGTTGTTGGGTTGCAGATAACAATGGCGTCTGCATTTTTCTTGCTACGTAAGGCAATCAAACCATTGCAAGAACCTATAATTGGAGAATCAACTTGCAAATCTGGTAATATGTCAGTATTCTTAATTTGGGCATTTTCGAGGGAGTCGAGATCGAGAGTATAGGGCTTGGATTTGGCGTAATCGCGGATGATTAGGAAGCGATGAGAATTGGTTTTGAGGGAGTGGGAAAGATGAAGCTTCACGAATTCAGGGCCGTCGATTAAATCACGACAACCCTTTGAGAGGCACCTGAATCGCAGCACATCTTTCACCGCTAAGCGCCACAAAATTTCCTCCAAGATATCGTGGGGAAGACTGATTCGGCTCCGCATCTTGATCTTGTCTTGTCTTGTTTGAGCAAAATTACCAAGGAGAAACAAATACTATCATATATTAAACCTTCTATTAATTTTATGTACAAGACCCTCATTGAGTGCCACTTGGCATTTGATTTCTTTGACAAGTGCCAATAGTTAATTTTCTAATGTTTTGTTTATTATATTTGTATTCATTTAGTTTGGAAAAATTAAAAGACATTCATCCCCCTTCCTATATAAAATAAATTATCAAATAATTATAAATGAATTATAAATTTGTTATGAATATAAATGTATGTTGTGTATGTCCATGAATCTAATCAAAGTATGGATAAGATTGATGACTTGGTTCATTCATACACATATACCTATGTGCTAAGTTCATCCCCTTATATTGATTGTGATGTATCTATGTGCCTATAAATAGGTCACTTACTTTGTTATGAAATAAGATGAATGAGAACAATTTGTCTCATTCTTCATATTATCTTATTCTCCAAATTCTATTGTCTCTCTATTCTCTTGTCTTTTCCATACTTCAATTTTACTCCATTGCTTTGTTTTGTTATCATTTCACAACAAAATTTTATTTCTTAACTTAATTTTCTAAATTTCATTTCTTAACAGAATTTTCTTAAAAGAATTTATAAAATAAAACAGACGCACGCGAAGTGCGGCCGGGAAGTTCTAGTATCATCATATATATATATATATATATATATTTAAAACAATGTACACTACGAGAATGGTAACTCATTAAATTTGAGGCCTCCAAATCTCGACAAGTGTTAGGTCCAGTTAATCGACATGTGTCTCTAAATAATTCTAATTCTAATATTCATTATCAATTAGAAAAAAGTCTTTGGTATATTTTAAGAAAAAAAAATTTCTCTTACAAACTTTTAAAATTTTAATTGAAAAGTAAATAATTCTAACTATTGACTATAGATAAAAAGTCTTTAATATATTTAGGGAAACAACCGTGTGAATTTATAAGGGTTTGTTATTATATATTAAGACAAAATAAACCTTTAGCAATTTCTTAAAATTCTTTTTGAGGTAATTTCTTAAATTTCTAAATCACCCTAACTATATATTTGTGTTAATAATAATTCCATTAAGGAGAGATTCAATTTTTGTCAATGAAACAAATTCCATTATTTTTGGACCATCGTTACCTTTAAAGATACTAATTGATCATGTCAAATTTCTTACCAAATTTTTGGATTGTGGAATCATGCCAAATTTTTTGCCATTTACAATAGTGATATCTTATCTTAT